AAGTCCTATTTGTCTGAAGTTTTTGAAACTTATGGACAAAATTGCCACTGAATTGCAAAAGACTGGCTTAAGGATCAACAATAATTTCCACTCGAATGGCGCTGCAAATGGTATCCCAAATGGTGTTGCAAACGGTGTCTCAAATGGTGTGAATCACGCGAAAAGTATTAAAATATTAGCCTATCTTTAATGAATGCATGAAATAATTAAGTTGTTGTTTACTTCAGATAAGAAGCAAATGCTAATCGACACCATAAATGAAACGGTGAACGATAAACTCGAAAAAATAGAGGTCTGTCTGTCACTAATGTTTTCTTTTATTCAATATTTGAGATTTATTTTATATTTTAGTTAAATTCATCGAAAGATATTAAATCCATTGACGACATCATCTCATTATTCAATTTAGAAAATTGTTAGTTAAACGCGAATTGTAAAGTTTTGTTTGTTTTTAATTTTAAATGATTACTTTAGATCCCGTGATATGTGGATCAATGACAGTAAATGAATTGCTTCATTGTCTCCGACATTCATCACTTAAACCAAATACTACACACATTGCAGTTGTCCTTCATTTATGTGATCTCAGGTTTGTATCATATGTTGGATATATTTAATTGTAGTATAAATGATGACTATTTTTAAACTCGTATATAGAGTACAAAGCTTTTGGCAGAGATTAGAGAATGGTTTCAATGCTTTGGCTCAGAATCGAGATGACGGCCGAAGTTATGTCATATGCAACGACTCATTACGAGTGCTGTTATGGTTGGCATTGGGTATAGAGAAGACAGTCAGTGATAATAAGGACGACGACGACGAGATGACATTTGGTATTTGACTACTTTTTCAATTACCATATAGTTATCAAATAGTTGACACATTTATTAATTAACAAAAAATATTTTCACTTTCAGATGCGTTCAGAGAGTATTTGGTAAAGAATTATAGGGATTGTATCGAAGAGAACGCTAGAGAATTGCTAACCGAACCAATCGTTGCGAGTGGTGTTCCGCACAAAAGTTAATGTTATCATAGAAATTAGTTTTTAAATTCATTAAGTTTGCTAATTATATTACATGACAGGACAGTGA